CATAATCAAGATGCAAAACATTATTCAATGGAATTGTAGAGGATTAAATGCTAGCAGAAATGATATACTCCTACTTACATTTAAAATAAAAGTTCACTAAATTCATTTACTTACCTGGACTAGTAAACTAATTTTGAAGGGAAAGTATCTCCAACTACACATTTCCGGAGAAAGTGATTATCAACAATACAGTTTAGCATTTGACAAAACCCTGCTTTATAAGACATATCAATGAAAACTGATCTACAAAGTGATTTCTTGCAAGGAAGATATACTCTCTTCATACAAACCTATCAGGAAAAACTAGTAGACATTAAATAACCTTTCAAGCTTGATATGCTGTTAAACCTAAATAAACCAAACCAAACTTTTCTTAATTTTCTTTTGCTTTCCAGTCAACTTTGATCTTCAAAAGTTTAAATGCCTTGTCAATCATTACCTTTTGTTTTCTTATAATGACTGAAATTGCATTTAAATTTGAGGCGAATAAAGAAAACAGTAACCAGCAAGTAAATTCAAGCTCTCCCAGCTGGTATTTCAACCTTGAGTCGTTCCTTCTTGATTTCTGTCTCAAAATCACACTAACTGCCCGTTCTTGCCATCAACCGTGAACGTCCCTTGAAGAACTCCCCGACTCGGAAAAAAGTAGTTGCTTTTATAGTTGTTCATATACCCATAATCCCTTGCGTCTTCATGTGATCCCATAATTCATTGCATCCATGTCTCATAATGCATTGCATCTTTACTGCATAAAAATGCAATGCCAGTCCCCCCCTCATTCTTTTATGTTATCTGGCTGAGGATGGATTACGGCAAAGAGGTAAGTGCTTTTTTTCTCTCCCTCATTTCAACTGCAGTAGCTTTACATGCTAAGCAAATACGGGCTCTTTTTTGGCGGGGACAAGGCAAGTCGCAACCAGTTGTGCTCGTCCCAGGTTCTGTCTCATGTCTGCCACACTCCCCCCCTGATCTCCTGATCACACAGATGACAGTGAGGATACCGTCTTTTGTTCCGGGTGCTCCTCCAAAGGGGGATTGGTTGAACTTCTTCATCAGAGGAGCTCTCATTAGACCCGTCCCGATCTATTGGCAAACTACCGCTATCGGAGTGATTGGTTGTTGAATCCAACTCTATGTATATTGGCTGTTCACTATCCTCCGTGTCTTCTTCGTCAGTTGTGGGATTTGAGCCCAAAAAAGAGCACAGGTCTCTAACATGACGAGGCGTTCCATCGACCCACACTGACTTTTCGATCGATTGGCAGGCTTCACAGGTTCTAACAACAGATTTTACCAGTTCCTTAGACACCGTTGGATCTACGGTCCTAGCAAAGTACATTGTTCTTTTTAACACCTGGGTGCCCACTCTGCTGGTGAATGTGGGTCACCTGACGTTTGCTCAACTGGCTCGTTGCAGTGGCACAACTCACTTGCACCGGTTCTCCTCCTTTCTTGTGCATCTCCAACCAGCGTTGCGGCACTCTGGTGAGGCTGTCAGCGCGGTTCTGACAAGATTTTACCAACGTCACAGTCATAGTCATAAAATATTCCTACACCAAAGCTCGCAGTGTCTCTAAGCGCCGCCTCATCAGAATTTCACCCACCGCCTTCGTGTTCACGCGCGTCTTTCCTGTCAGGGTGTCAGACACCTACTGATGCACACATGCTGAATTGGTGACCACATGCATAACTGGTGCCTGCCACTGCAGGGCAAGATTCACGCCCTTGATCACCGCATCAAGCTCAGCAAGATTAATGTGTTTGGCATCATTGGTTGGACGCAACCAGCAAGCATCTTCCACGATGCTCCCATTCACCTCTAGTGCTACTCCCGTAGCCACGGAGCTTGCATCCACACCAGTCTCCGCTGACAGGATCTGATTCCCGCACTCTGGCCACTGTTTACTCCAGCATACGTCCATCCTTTATCTCGTCATCCCATCCTTTGGTTAGTGTACTTGCATAACACTTAATAAATACAGTTGCCACCCTAAGCCAACCGCACACAGGGAAATGACCCATGAGTTTCCTGCACAAGGAAAATACGCTTCGGCGGGTCACCTTTTGAGCAATTTCTGGAACCTGACCTCCCCGTTTCCATCGAAGGGAGTTGCTTTCTTCCCAGACTTGCAGACCCAGAACCTTAGTTCCGTCTCTCAATCGTTCCAGATCTTTACAGACTAGCCCATAATCTGCAAAGTGCTGTCTTGCGCGCGCTGCAGAAACTAGGCCTTCATTTATGAAGATATCGCCGACGTATGTCGACGTGGCACTCTTAATGTTCTGATCCTGGGACGTTATCATGTCGATCACTGACTTCATGACAAGTGGTGCCACATTCAGGGCAAAACCCAAACGAGAAGGGCAAAAACTGCTTGCCCTTAATGACCACTGTTTGAAACGGCCATAGCGATTTGTCAATGTGAATCTGTAGGTACGTATTTCTCAAATCCAACAGCGATACGTCAGCTCCTTGTCGTCGCCATTCTTGTAATTTCTGCGCACACACCTCTGCGTCAGCCGTGAATGCATCTACAAAGCCGTTCAACTCCCGATAGTCAAGAACTGGCCGGACCTTCTGTTTGTGTTCTTGTATGACCGCCATTAAGGGAATTAATCCCTTGGGTGGGCCAAGCTCTTTCTCGGGATATGGCAGTAGCCATCCATCTCGCTGCCACCGTGCTAGTTCTTCATCGTATGCATTCCGGACATGGCCAGGTACTGTGTACTCCTGTACTTTATTGACCAACTTGCTAGGTGAATGACCACTCGCCCACTTCCACAATGCAGTCCATGTTTTCGTGCTCGGGTTAAACGTCACTCTAAAGTCAGGCTTGTTGATAACAATGGCGGCACATGTGTTCAGGTTTCTGAAACACGCTTCGCCTGATTCGGTCAAGTGAACACCTCCGAGCACTTTGATTGCATCAATCCCGAGAAGATCGAATCCTAGCAACTGCCCTTCCACGACCAGAACCTCAACAGTCACGGGCTGAATCTGCTCGATGCCCAACTTAATTTTACCATATCCACGGCACTTCAGGGTCTTCCCGTCGGCAGTCAACACTCCCACCTCTTCCTGCTTCCAGCAGTGACACACAGTCTTGCTCACCAGCGTCTGTGAGCATCCTGAATCCACTAGAGCTGTGCACTCTACTCCATTTACAAATACTTGTACGGTGGGTAACTTCCGGTTTTTACTTGCTCGGGGGAGAAGGCTGGCGCTGACGCCTTCTCCCTTGGGCGTTTCCTGGCATTCTGAGGAAAAGTGTCCAATGCCATTGCATCGAAAACACCACTTGTCGCGGCCAGACCTCTGCGTTCTGTTTGACCTCTCCTGACGTCCTTGTGTACAATTCTTCGCCATCTGGTTGGGTCCAGAGCACTTGTAGCAGGTAATCGTTCTGATAACAGGTTTGGCAGGGGGAACCTCAGATTCTGAGCGCGGTAGCTCTACGGATGCGGCGGCCAATACCTGGCACCCTTCGTCATCCGTCATAATAGCCCTTGCTCTGGTTAGAATCTGTTCTAGATTCATGTCATCCATCCTGGAAGAAGCTTTGAGAAGCTGCCTAACATGATGTGGCAGTCCTGACACAAATGCACATGCCATCCACTGATCAGGTAGCGGTTCTCCTATTAGCCGCGCCAAATGATGCATTTCAGCCAGGAATTCATCCACAGTTTCTGGGTGAAGACGTCGTCCCATAAATTGTTCGAACGCATTAAATCTGTCAGTCGCAGTATGCAGTCATAAGGGCCCATTTAATTTGTTCGCCTGTCTGCCTCAGCTCTCCACTGAGTTGTCTATACACAGCAAGGGCACCGCCTCGAAGTCGTAGAGGCAAGATGCGCCGATCTTGTCCATGGCACAAAGTTCGCAGACCAATTCCACATTTTCTATCCATTCAACAATGGGCATATCTGTTGGGGCACCGCTGAATTCTGGAATCAAACGGACGTCAAAGACCTTGCCTTCCATTTTGAAGAATCAATATGCCGAAATAGCTTGAGGTGAATAAAGAAAACGGTAACCAGCAAGTAAATTCAAGCTCTCCCAGCTGGTATTTCAACCTTGAGTCGTTCCTTCTTGAGTTCTGTCTCAAAATCACACTAACTGCCCGTTCTTGCCGTCAACCGTGAACGTCCCTTGAAGAACTCCCCGACTCGGAAAAAAGTAGTTGCTTTTATAGTTGTTCATATACCCATAATCCCTTGCGTCTTCATGTGATCCCATAATTCATTGCGTCCATGTCCCATAATGCATTGCATCTTTATTGCATAAAAATGCAATGCCAGTCCCCCCTCATTCTTTTACGTTATCTGGCCGAGGATGGATCACGGCAAAGCGGTAAGTGCTTTTTTCTCTCCCTCATTTCAACTGCAGTAGCTTTACATGCTAAGCAAATACGGGCTCTTTTTTGGCGGGGACAAGGCAAGTCGCAACCAGTTGTGCTCGTCCCAGGTTCTGTCTCATGTCCGCCACAAAATTTTTGAAGATCAAAGTTGACTGGAAAGTAATAGGCCAGAAGAGTTCCACAAATGGGAAGTGTGAGAGAATAAATTGTTAGCATAAAACTTATGGTTACATATAGACATTTCAACTGTTAAAGGATGAGACCTAGCTACCAATCTAGTACTGGATTTAATTTGTAAAGTCAAGATACTAAAGAGGAAAGCTCATCAGAATAGTTACCATGAAAATATTTATAGAAAATGCCTTATCCACAACTGAGAAGTTGAGAAGAATCTTTGCTAGGCATGGTCTGCCTGTGTTAGTAGTAGATGATAGTGTCCCATGTTTCATCAGTAAAAATTTGAAATTGATTGTAAATTGTATTGGTAGTTCTGCTTTAATGGAATAAATCCAAAATTAATCCTGTTCATGTCACTTTTTCGAAAAAGGATACCAAGTAAAGGGATTTTATTGCACCTTGATTTTGAACTGCCATTGTTTTATAGGTATTTGTGTGTAAATTAATACTCTTCTTTATTTTCAGGGGTTCATGGAATATACAATATTATTTTATGGTAGCTACCATAATGTTACATTGAAAATTGGTGACAGTAAGATCTACAATTACAATATGTCATTAGCTTATCTTCTTGCTCTGGGACTTTTTTTTGTGATAAGCTTTGTCCTTATCATCCGTACGTAAGTAAACTCTTTATTTTGTTATCTTAACAGTAATTAATTAACTCTAAGGTTAATTAATTTAATACATTAATGAAGTAATTAATTTAAAGTATAGGAAATTCCTAATCAAAACAAGCCTCAAAATAAATAATGTACTAATTGATATAAAGTAAAATTTACAATCATTTTATTATCCCAAAATTTATTTTATTCTTGTAAGATGACAGTACTGGTGAGGGGATAACTTCAAGCTTGAATGTTTTCTATGGGTAAAACAATGATGATCATGTCTCAAGAAAGTGTTTTTTACAAATAGAATCTGTGAATGGATATAATAATTTTTCAAACAACATAATTTCTGTAATAAACAAGAACTTGAATTCACTTGTAAGGGTTAATGAAGGGATAACTGGGATTTTGGTGATATGAATTGAAGGGGGCAATATTATTGTTGAATTAGATTGGATGGTAGATTAGAGGAGACAGTATCATCATTGATTAATAGCCCACGTAATCTATTCTCAAATGTTTTATATATTTGGCTTTGGATATTTATTTTTATTGAATAACAAATATTATCTCCTCATACCAAGTTATAATATATCTGTATATAGTACAATAACATTTTGATATAGTCTGTCTGCTGTGTAGGTATAGCTATATTATTAAGTATGTGGGTGTTTGGAGTAGAGCAGGAATTGCATATTATAACTTGAGTTCAGTCCTCATTTGCTGCCTACTTATGACCTTGTGTCAGACTTTTCTCTGTTGAGTGTTTGTAGTTGTTATATTTGACTCTAATTTGACAAATTTCTCACCTCTTCAGTTTCTAAATTTAAATTTCTATCTGGGATGTCTAGTTCATTTTAATTTCAAAATCTGGAGTGAGTAAACATTTTGATATTTTTTATCATTGTCATTCAGTAATTTCTGTCAAGATACTGTCATATCTGATTTTATGTTTTAGAATTAGAATTTATCAAGTTTATAAATCATCTGAAAAAAATGTATAAAAGGTAGTAACAAATGTTGAAAGATGATCACAAAGCATTTGACATACTTAAGTAGGTAAAAAGTACTTGAAAACAATTACTTCTTCAAAAACAAAAAAGTCATTATAGTCAGTCCCACTCTCATGGTTCAGAGTAAATATTTATACCTGAGTGTACTGGTGATTATACAAATATATTTAAACACACTTCATATTAGGCATATTATGTCATTGTTTGTTTGATCAAGTCAGTGCAACCTGGTATACAAGTAGAAATGACCTTCATTTTCTATATAATATAGATATCATCTGAACAAATTGATTGAATTGAATCTTTTGGGTTTCAATTTAATTTCTCTGTTTGCAGCATTGCAGTTGGAATCAAAGAGAATCTTGTTAACCAACAAAGCACTGGAGTTCCATACTCCCAGAAAGTCTTTGGTTCATGGGATTATTGTATATCTGTAGAAAAAATGGTTAATCGGAAAAAAAACTGTTTGCTTCAAGAATTGCGGGTGAGTATGATGTAGAGAACTTTATTAAAAACCTCTCTTACAACTACAATAGACTATGTTCTTTAACAGTCCCATCATCTCTTACCCTTATAAATTTTTGTTCCTGGAAGATCACAGAGGTGAACAGCAAACAGTAAAGTTCATGAACAGTCAGTTTTCTTTTTTGTTGGCAATAACAACAGAAAAATCTTAGACCGTGTCATTCATGACCTAATGTGTATTTATAGCGAAAAAAACGGCGACTTGCCTCGTCAAACCAAGCGACAGCGCGTCGCATGTATTCTACGACAGAAAAAGTGGCGAAAAAGAAAATTACTTATCAAACAAAAGGACATGTATTCCGTATAACATGCTGAAAATGGAATATTTGAATTAAAAAAAAATAAACAAGTCTGTTGCAGGAGTCGCGATAAAAGTATTTTGATATGCAAATAACTGAACATCCTGTCCCAGCTGTCAACGAATGAAAAAAAATAGGTTCTGCCGATAAAAGCAGTTGGTGTTCTTGATTTGAGAGCGGAAAATTTGGGCATTTTTGGCTATGGCGTTTGTTAGCGAGTGAGTTATTTTTCTGACTGGTTACACACATTGTGGTTTGAGATAGTACCGGTGAATCGAGTTTTCAGCATTTCTTTCTGTCCCCCGATATTCGAGTCTGTACTTACAGTGATTTTTCTTTGTGTTCTGGAAGTAATCTGCGATAACTACTTCCTTTGCTTTCAGAACGCTTACAGTATTATAGACTGAATAAGCATAGCTGTATTTATTAAAGGTAATGTGGAGAACAGCCCCGTAGAAGCAAGTGAGCCAAAGTGGCTTGCATCTGGTGTATAGGAAAATAAGGGTCTTACCTTAACATGCGGCATGTGACATCAGCAAGTTTGCTTTGTGAAAATGGCATTACTCTCCCGTCCAGCCAGTCTAGCAGTATGTACAATGATGAGGGTTTTTTTTGTACAGTTTGGAATGCTTCCACCAATAGCAAGTTGTGTGCTGATTGGTCGAACTGGAGGAGGCAATTTGCCTGTGTAACCGAGAATAACAGCAAAGAACGCTGATTGGCTGGAGAACCGCGGTGTTGGCCTGATAAAAGAGTGCTAGAGCCATGAAAAAGGGGACAGAAACATTGGCTATACGTAGTGACGTGTGAAGAAAGCAAGGACGGTGAATTGAACCAGCGATATTGTGATTTGTACAAGTGACAGTTGGGAGAGCAATAGACTTATTTAATCTACAGGTAACTTCTGATATAAAAAGATTTAAGGAAAGTATAATTATAGAAGATTACAAAAATTACCTTGTCTTTTTGTGTGTATATGCGTGTAAATTATTTGGATATAGTTAAATGTAATTGGCAGAAATGACTAACAAACAGAATTGTCAAAGTCTACAATAAACAATAACAAGAGAAAGAAAAGAACAGGACAAAAAGAATATTGAGCAAACAATATATGCAAGGCAAAGCAACAGTAATAAGGCAAAAAGTTCACTAACTAAGAATGGGGCGGATGTTGATCTAATTTGATATAACTTCACCAAGCAAATATATTTATATCAAATTAGATTAACATAGTAACAGGGCATAGTTAGGAATTGGTAATACAAAAACCCTTTTTTCAAATAGGATAATATAAGTTGTCCACAAACACCATGTTTTGTCATAATTTTTGCAATCTGTTTTGCTGTAGGAATCCAATCAGTTATTGTAACTTAATTTTGTTCCAACATTTCCTTTTGGGTATTAATCTCCACTCTTAGCCTCCTTTCAACTACTTGTCTTTTGGAGTAGATAGTTTCATATAAATATTTATTTTCTGAAAAAAATATAAAAGGGATACCTTTTTGGCATTTTTCATTTATGAATTAATTGTATAAGGCGACCAAACAAACATGATCAACTCCCTCAATCAGAACCAGGGTTTCACTGGCTAATGTACTTCTCTCACCAATCTTATTTTCTCTGACTCTCAAGTGATGGGGTTAATTCTACTGTCCCCTTCAAAAATATAACAAAATCTCCTTTGACTTTCTCAAAAGAAGCATCAGTAAACAACACAAATCCTACTAGCTGTCCTATTACCTTGTAATTTAGAGTAACCTCTTCAACTTGAATTTTTTTATATTTCTATTTACTCCTTTAAGGTACTCAACAGTGCTATTTTTAATTAGAGATGCAATGGTGGTTGCATCAAAAGCAATATCATGATGTGTTTGTGTAACAAGCCAGAGAAACTGCCCAATTTTTGATCTTATTATAGACCTTTTTGTGGAAGATAAAGGTGAATATCTCATTCTATGCCTATCTATGGTTACTGGCTCCAATGTGCATACATAATCCTTCTCGTTTAAAGTGATACAATTACCATCCAATGATGAACATAAACCTAAATATTTGAAGGAATCACAAGACTCTTTTCCAACATAGAATTTTTCTCAATTGGATAATAACCTTTTCTCAAAGGATTCCATCCCTACCCAAAGTAAGTCATCCACATGTACAACTGCATTTGGGACAGGTCAGTTTATTAAAAAAAATTATGAAAAATGCGACTGTGTTCGCTGAATTAATACAATTCCTGAACGACTAGTTTGTCTTTAATAATAAGAGAGGCCAAGGACAAAAATTTGTGTGAATACTATTTGTTAAAAGGTAAGCCTAAAATTATTGCTTTATATACTGAACTAACCGCATTAAAGAGAAAAGAAAATGAATCAGTAACCAATTATTCTAGCAGAGAATGTCACAAATGCCTTAATATAGCAGGAGAGACTATCTTGGATGGGCTGCTAATAGCCATGGTCTTAAAGGGTTTACCACCGACATTCAAACCATTCACGACAGTTATAACTCAAAAAGATAAACAACTAACTTTCACTGAGTTTAAAATTGCATTACGTAATTAAGAAATATTAAATGTGTACCCCCCATAAATAAGGGCAAAAACGTAATGCAACTGGGAACATCATTTTAAAATTCAGAAAATCAGTTCCTCAAAGCGATCAGATTAGGAATGATGATATTCAGAACAGGGGCTTTAAGGACAATTATTACAAGAATTATAAAGGAAGAAACACTAAAAAGAGATGTTTGTTTTCGTTGTGGTAATAATGGCGGCCATGTCAGTGCGGAATGTCAATTTTATACACGGAATGACTTTTGTAAAAATGTAAAAAAAAAAAAAAAAAAAAACTTTTTCGAATGGACGTGCATATGCCTTTTTGTTTGGATTGAGTACTGTGACCAGTAGTTGTGATTCGTACCTGGTCAATTCGGGTGCAACAAATCATGTAATTGCAATTTATTAATTTTGACCCGAATTTTGAGTTCGACTCGCATTTTATCGAGTTAGTGGACGGCACCAGAGCTAATAATTTAGTTTTAAAAAGAGGTGGCGCCTGTATTTATCTGCGAAATACTAGAGGAAATGTTTGTAAATGTTTATTAAAAAAAAAAAAAAAAAAGGCTTTATATATTCCTAAATTAAAGATATCAAGACGGAACTGAATAATATACAAGCAATATGGACGTTCATATTATTTGAAAAGTATTAAGTCTGCGAAGATGGCCACACACGACTTGAGAACTTGGCATAAAATATTAGGCCACTGTAATGATTCGGATGTTAAAAGATTACAAGAACATGTCACTGGAATGAAATCATATGTATTAAACTTTATTGACAAGTATTCATAACTTATTATAATATATTTTCTGAAAACAAATCGGATAGCCTGCAAGCTACAAAAATCTATTTATCCGATAACTCCCTGCATGGAAAATTAAAAATAATTCGGACAGATAATGGTGGAGAATTTATTTCTGATGCTTACAAAAAACCTCCTAATAAATGAAGGCATTAAACATGAGAAGACCTGTTCTTATTCTCCACATAAGAATGGAGTCGCTGAACAGAGTTGGAGGACACTTTTTGAAATGGCTAGATGTTTGTTAATAGAATCTAAGTTACCCAAAAATCTGTGGTCTTATGCATTAAGAAAGAAACGAAAAACTCAATGAAAGCCCACTGTGAGTGATATGCATATTTTTGGTACAATTTGCTATACATATGTTGACCACAGGGTGAAACTGGATCCAAAAAGTGAAAGGGGCATATTTATTGGGTATGATAAGCCAAGTCCAGCCTATATGATTTATTTTCCATAAACTAAAATGATGAGGAAGATTAGATGCATCAGATTTACACATTCCTTTGAGCGAGGGGAGGAACCCCCCCAAAAAAAGGAATATTAATTGTGAGGAACTAGTCCAACCTGAATTAGTATGGCCTAATTATGGGCCTAAAAGTAGAAAACCTGTTCAGAGTCCACAATCAGAGGAAGGTATTATACCAGATGAGGTATACGAGAAAAAATCGGGTGCAAATTCCGAGTTATCCAATAAAAATGGAGGAAAGCCAGACCATTTTGAAATGAATCAATGTAATATTTGTAACATCCATTGTTGTTATGCGGTACAATGTATCTCAAAGAACTACCAAGGAGCCATACATTCTGTCAACACCATAGCGGCCATGACAAAAATAAAAGAAAAAAAAAAGAAATTAAATCTTTAGTATTAAGGGACATTTTTTGAATCAAAACGCCCCGGATGATAAAAATATCATTGGCAGCATTACTGTAAAACGAACTGAAGATGGATCGCCAGTCTACAAGGTTCGTTTTATAGCTAATGGATTTTCATAGATATAAAGGGTGGGGACAACTTATGTAGAAATCTTAAGTCTTAATTGATGGTAGAAATATCATCGGCAGCCGTTGGGTTTACATTGTAAAGTGAACTGAGGATGGATCGCCAGTCTACAAGGCTCGTTTTGTAGCTAACGGATTTTCATAGATATATGGGGCAGATTATAAGAGAGGGGGAGATGACTTATGTAGAAACATTAAGTCTTAGAGTTTTGATGCAAATGGATGCCCATTATGGTAAGGATGTACACCATATGGATGTTAAAGGAGCTTATTTCGGAATGCTACCATCG